TGTCACCGTGGGGACGGGCTTTGAGGTTTTCTATGTTCATGATACTGCCCAGTGTCTCAGTCGACTTCCTGTTGCCTGCAAGATGTAGGACTCTCAGCTACTACTCCAGCACCACATCTGCCTGCATGCCACTATGCTCCCCATTATGATGATAACTGACTACACCTCTGAGACTGTAAGCAAGCCACACCAATTAAATGTTTTCATTTATAGGAGTTGTCATGGTCATGGTGTTTTCCACAGCAATAGAAGCCCTAACTATGACACTGCCCAAGCCTGAGGACAAGAACCTGAGTCAAAGTACTCAAGTAACAAGGTCTCTTGGATGCCTGTGGCCCCAGCACTCAGGGAGTAAAGAGAGAAGTATTTCTGGGACTTACTGGTTTCTAGCATATCGAGAAAAGTAGGAGCTCTAGATTCAGGGAGAGACCCTGCCTCAAAGGAATCAGGTGAAGAATGATGACATACAACATCCTCCTTTAGATACTGCTTGTGCACAAAGGCACATAAGCCACATGCCCGTGTGGGCACACACAAACTAAAACCAGAACGATGAGAAGGGACCTTGCGGGATTTGGGATGGAGAAAGAGAAGAAGACGGAATACATGTGAGGGAAGCAGAGGAAGCTATTTGGGGGTGGGGGAGAGAAAAGTTGCCAGCTAGAGAGCAGCAAGAGGATAGTAAGGGCAGTGGTGGGGTGTGTATGAAAAGAACATGATGAACCCCCAACTTTACATTCAGGGGTGGACAGTAGCAGGAGGACTGCAGAGATGGCTCAGCAGTTAAGAACACTTGCTGATCTTGCAGAGGACCCCGGTTCAGTTCCCAGCACCTACATATCACTCACAGCTGTCTACAAGTCCAGTTCCAGGGCATCTGGCATCCTCTTCTGGCCTTTGAGGGCACTGTATGCACATGGTGCTCATCCATTACAGGCAGAAAAACTCATATATATTAAAGATAAATAAGTAAGAGACATTTCATGAGTTAAAAGTAATTTTTAAAAGATAAAGTATAAAAATAAACCTCTTAGCCGGGCGGTGGTGGCGCACGCCTTTAATCCCAGCACTCGGGAAGCAGAGGCAGGTGGATCTCTGTGAGTTTGTGGCAAACCTGTTCTACAAGAGCTAGTTTCAGGACAGGCTCTAAAGCTACAGAAAAACCCTGTCTTAAAAAAAATAAAAAATAAAAAGAAAAGAAAAAAAAGAATAAAGCTCTTCCTCATTATGGGTTACCTTGCCCAGCCTTTATACAAGGGGAGGAGCTTAGTCCTACCTCAACTTGATAGGCTGTACTTTGTTGACACCCATGGGAGGCCTGCCCCTTTCTGAACAAAAACAGAGGAGGAGTAGATTGGGATGGGATGAGGGAGAGGTAGGGGGAGAACAGGAGGGAGGGGAAACTGTGGTTGGGATATAAAATAAATGAATAAATTTAACTAATAAAAAGAAAGAATGAGCATCATCCTTTTTAAAGTAAAAGAAAATGATCAGTTTGAACGGTAGCACATGGGGCTGAGGAAGATAAATTCTAGTAGGGGCCACCGATATGTTTTGTAGGAAGACAAAGAATTCTGCAGATGGATGGTGGTGGCCGTACATAGCAACCTGAATATTCTCAGGGCGTCTGGGTTGCACGCTTCAATGTTGAAAGTGTGAATGTGTATTTGACCATAAACTATAATTTAAAAATAAGGGTGGAGGGTGTGGTTTTGTGACAAAATGATTGCCTAGCATTCACAAGGCACTGGGTTGGATCCCTGGCACTGCCACACTGATGATGATGATGATGATGGTGGTGGTGGTGGTGGTGGTGGTGGTGGTGGTGGTGGTGGTGGTGGTGGTGGTGGTGATGATGATGATACATTTTTTTAAGTCAGGAAAGGGCCATCTGCTGCGTTAACATTTCATTTACTGCTCGTCTTAGAAGTCAGGCTGAGCAGCCCAGGGTGCGAATGGTTCCCACGCCTCACAGGCTGAAACAAAGAGCTGAACCTTCCCTTCCCTTCTCTTTGCCAGGCAGGGGCTCAGCCTCGGGCAACCTCCTAGTTACACCTCAGGCGGCCAGCCTGCACAGCGTTCTGTTGTGGGCAGCAGAGGGCGCGCGCTGACAAAGCAGAGGGACCCAAGCTTGCTGCACCTGCCAGACCCGGCTGGAACTGCTCCGGCATTCAGTCTGGAACTGCTCTCGCCTCCGTCTGGGCGAGTCTCTAGCACTTGTAGGGAGGGTCCTGTCAACACGAGGAACTCCAGAAGGTGTCATCAGGCCGGCGCCCGTGTGGTGTGCTCACCTGCGGTCTCCAGTGTCCACAGGGCCGCTGGAGGTTGGATCTTGTCCTCCCTTGGCACAGAGGTCGCTACTGGATCCAGCAGAAAGGATAACAGCACCCTGAGAATGCTTTGCCGATTCCAGACACATCTAATCACCACTCAGTTTGTGAATATATACTCCAGTGACCAGCACGCCAGAAGACCGCCTCACACTACTGGGGATGTGAGGGAACAGATGCGCAGGGAGAACCCAGCACTGCACGGAGAAGGAGTAGGTTTGCAGAGCAGGTGGTGCTGTAAAGCTCCATAACTAGCGCCATTTGTATGGCAGAGCCTAGCAAGCCCACCCACAAATTGTATGTGCACGAACATGACCATAAGTGTGTCCCAACACAAAACTTTAAACTTAACTTGAAATACTTTGAATTTTTTGCAACCTGATTATATCATTTATGATATTGTGTCTAATCTCAGAAGGGTGGGGACAGGCTGCTGGCCACCCCACCCACCTGGGGTTTCCAGAAGGACCTCCAGGTCACCTGTGCACTGTTGCTCTAACCTGGCAAGAATCTGCCCCAGCATAACCAGAGATCTAATGGGCACTCCCAGAGTGTCCGCTCATACCCTGCCGCATTCCTCCTCCTCACCTGGACACTCTCTTAGCATCCCCACTGGTTTCCTCCTGGGTCTGGTAGAGTGAGACAGTTCTCTCTCTCTCTCTCTCTCTCTCTCTCTCTCTCTCTCTCTCTCTCTCTCTCTCTCTCACACACACACACACACACACACACACACACACCAGGAGACTGACAGCTCATCTATCAGCCCCACACCTGCAAACCCCAAGCTCTTTCAGGTCTGCTGCTGCTGTCTCCTCAGGAACCTACATGTCCCACTTCACCTGCCACCTGGACCTGTCCAGGTCTCAGCCCCCCTTTCCAGATCCCCACCTCCCCATTCCTTGGGCTCAAAGTGGGCAGAAAGCCAACATATCCGCAATCCCCACATCAACACTGACCTGAGTAAGCGCAGTGGAGTTGGCGAACTTCAGCTCCAAGGGTTATCTCCAGCAGTCTAAGGCCTCTATTCAGAGCCCAGCCTGAGGCAGGGAGAGAAAGATCTGAACCCAGTGCCAACCCCAAGCATCCCTGAGGCCCCTCATGCTTCCTTCCTGGCAGCACTCCCAAGTTGTTTGTTTATTTTGTGCTATTTCTGAGCCAGAGACATCTCTTCCCTCCAACCTGTATTAATCCCAGGCTAGACTCCCAGACTCGCCTTGGGCTACACAGGGAGATTTCTACAAGCTGCTTTTAAACACCCATGGTGAGCAAAGCCAAGCAGAATGCAGCAGGGAATAGGAGAAGGTCCCCGCAGAGCCTTGCCCAGCACCCACTGCTGTTTGTGGTATTCTTCACCGAACCCACACTAGCATAAGAGAGTTCCTTTGTGTCTGCTTCCCTTTCTGGGACCTTTCATTCAACCAGACTTCTCCCAAGCTCTTTCTTTCACATAGAGACTGTATTCCAAGGGGGAAGTTCAGAACCATCCCCGCTCCCCCAACGGGGCATTCATGTTATCTGGTCACCTCACTATTCGTTCATCCAGCAGCCAAGATAGGGGCACTTTTTTGAAATGTCTGAAGCGGCCTGGCATCATGATAGGTGCTTGTAATCTCAGCACTGGGAAGGCTGAAACCAGCCTGGGATGCAATATAGAGTTTTGGGCCAACTTAGGTTGTATAATGAGATCATGGGGAGAGGGAAAACCAAGGATGCAAGTGGTTCCTGCTTGCAGGTGGACCAGCGTGGCCCAAAACTCCCCTTTCTCTCAGATCTGCCTGACCCTTGTGTATTTCTGCCCTAGTTGTAATTACCCATGTTTTGTTCTGAGTGCTCACGTGATTGTGCTCGCACAGTAGGATGAGGTCGACAGTCCCCAGTGGGCAGGGTCTCGAGATGTCGGGGTGGGAGCAGAGGACTGTTTCCAGCTGGCTTTTCACTGGAAGCGTCAAAGACAGAATGTCATAGATAGGGGGCAGCGCCGCCAGGGGAGCATCGGTGGGTCTGGAGCACCGCCCCCAACCCCCACCCCCGTGTTCTCGGCATGAGTGACCTGAGGCAGACCACGTCGCCTCGGAGCTTTTCCCGCAAGGTGGAGAGCTGGGCTCCCACCTCCAGGGGTCGTGGAGAGGACAAACGCGGACGCCGCAGGTAGGGCGCTTTGTGGGCGCGGCTCTCCCTGAGCGCGTGCCCGGGCCGCACCGGGGCTAGGGAGGCGCATTCTTGGAGAGCGTCCCCGCGTGAACAAAGGCTAGGGGAAGGAAAGAAACCAACGACAGCTCCAGTCTAGGCGGTCCGGGAGGGGAAGACCCTCGCACACAGGGACAGTAGGCACAGATCAGAGTGGCGCAAGGCTGAGGGTTCTTGGAGCCACCAGGAGCCCTGGGCTGGGAAGGCTTCCTGGAGGTGGTAGCCGCGGCATGCGTGGCCCCTTTAAGAACCGGTGCCCGAGGAGCACGGGGTGCAGGGGACCGAGGGCGGTGGCAGAAAGACCCACGGCTGCCGCCAGGGCTCCGCACCCAGCGCCCGCTCCGCTGACGTCACCTGCCCCCGAGCGGCCCACTCTGATTGGCTGCAGGTGACGTCAGGGGCTTTTTCGCTCGGCATGACCTCATCCCCGCCGGCAGCCCCGCCCTCCGCCCCGGGCCTGTCACTCGCGGCTCCCGCGGTGGCCCAGCCGGCTCCGCGGACCCCCGCCCCACCCGGACGCCGGACGCGGGACGCCGGACGCTGAGCCCGGCCGGAGCCGCCAGCCGCGCCCGCCGAGCCGCGGGCTGGGATGCGCGCCGTGAGCGCGCGTGCCCGACCGCAGTGCGCGCGCTCCGTCCCGAGCGAGCGCTCCCCGCGGTGGCGGCGACGACGACGGCGGCGGCGGCGACGCGCCCCGCGCGCCTCTCCGGCCCTTGCCCCGGCTGTGCGGGCCCCCGACGGGCCCATGGGTGGCGTGACAGAACGGGTGCCCTGAGCGCGGCACCAACGTCGGGGGCACTCCCACGGCAAGCGAGAGCCAGGTGAGCCGGGCGCGGGCACCGGTTCGGTTCGGAGCTGGGCCCGGGGAGTGCGGGAGGTTCAGCGGGTGAGCGCCCTGCAGTAGGCTCTTTGGAGCATCGAAAAATGGATAGATGACTCTTTCCTGCGCACGGCGCGCGCTGCGAATCCGCGTCCGTTCTAAGCTGTCTTTCTCCGCGCATTCCTTCTTATTTGGAGAGACGTACTTTAGAGACCTAGGGATTCGTGGGGGAGGGCTGAGATCCAGCACAGATCGCTGAGAGCCTCTGCAAGGCGCCCCCGCTGGCGGCCAGAATAGGAAAAGGTCGTCCGCGGCAGCAGCCGGCGGCCGGCGAGATGCGAAACCTCCGACGCCAGAAGGTCGGCTCCGGCCTGTGGTAGGCTCCGTGTCTGGAGGGGAGACCCTAGGACCCCCCTCTCCGGCTCTCTGATAGCTGTCAGGTCACCCCCACTTCGGGATGCTCCATTGGCCTCTGCGGATAAAGAACATCCTTACCCGACGCAGAGGCAGCAGGCGCGATGCTGGGGGAGGGGCCCGTACAGCCGCCTCCTGCAGCCTGTCTCCCTGTCCTATCTGTCCACCTTGGGAGGGAGCGGCCAGTCAGCCGCCATGGGTACCTATGGGCCAATCCTTGCAGGTGGATGGGTAAAGACAGGCCCAGATTCCACTAAATCCAATCTCTTGGGTAAATTTGCCTTTGACTCCTTGTTGACAGGGTGTGCTGCGTTCTGCAGCAGAGAGATGGGAGCTCTGGTGATGCAGTGATGGGGGTGGGGGATCAGTGTGGCATCTGCAATGCTCTGTTGTGCAGCTTGGGGTGGGAGTGGGGGTGCTTCAGACCAGGGGCATAGATTCTTTCACTGTGGGAGTCGATTCAGAATGGAAATTCCGTGACCTGTAGACCCATCCTCACACTTGCTTGCCCTCCAGGGTAGCTGGGTAGGTGAGTGTAGCCTAGGATGCCAGGCTCTGCTCGAGGTCAGAGTCCCTGTGCATCCACTCCTTGGTTAACAAGCACCTGCTACAGATGATCTTGATCATGTGATCAAGAGCTGTAGGTTCATCTTTATGTCTGACTGCTGCAGTCAGCTTAGGGACCTCGGGAGAGTTGCTGGGCAGGTTCTCTTTCCCTCTTGCCCTGTGCCTTTGGGGAGACTTGAGGCTACCTCCAGGGACTCAATATAGATGCAGGAAGATGCTTCAAGGCAATGTGTCTGGGGCTCCTGGCAGCATCTCTCTTCTTGAGCTGATGCTGATGTCCCAGCCCAGAAGTTTCAAATGGACAGGTGTTTTGGTGAGGTACATCTGTGGATCTGGAGTGACTCAGATATGCAGCTCATAGCGAAAACAGGGACAGAAGTTGAGCCCACAACAGAAGAAATAGTTATGTTGTGGTCCTAACAACCATTGTGAGCCAAAGAACTCTGGCTGGAGCTCTCAGGACCACAGCTCTCTCAGGCTGTCTCTTCTTGGCCTGGCCATTTGCTTGAGACAATGTTTCTGCCCCCTGGTGCAGGGGAGCCTGGCTAGAGGAGCCATGGGCTCAGTTGCCATGCAGGAGCATTTGACACCCTCCCTTTCACCGGACATGGCCTCTGCCAGGCTCCAGAAGTGCCCTGTGTGACAGTGAGCTGGCATCTTAGTATCTTGGGCCCCTAATTGCTGACTCTTTCCTGAGAGCTGCCAGACTGTGGGCAAGGATGCTCAGGCTAGACCACTGTGGGAGGGACCCAGTCTTACAAAGGCTGATGGTCCTGGCAACCATCTCTAGAAGGAGGGAATTCCTTGTTCCTAGGCACTGAGAAAGAAGTAGCTTGGTGAGGATGCCACCCAGGGGACTTGAGCTTTGGTTGGTCACATGAGGACTCAGGAACTGGAACATGCTGTATGTAAACCCCAGTGTAAATGACTGGCGCTTGGTATATGGGCACCAGGAGCTTTGGTATACCGAAGACAAGGATGCATGTGCAACTGTATACTTCAGTCTTGCTCTCCAGGAGACTGTAATGCCGTATGTATGTGCAGATGGATACATTGACACATGTATAATTGCACTCAGGGACAAGATGGATTGTCACTATGGCACGCATCTGCCAGTGTGCAAAGGGATGTGTTCCTGTGCCCAGGGAACAGTGCCACAAGGGCTGGGCTGTGGACCTGGCCTGCAGCAATGGGGGCTGTCTGAGACTTCCCTGAGGGGTGTGGTCATTGGTTAAGCACGCCTAGGAGAGGCTTCCTCCTCCTGACTTTGGACTTAGGAATGCTTGCCTCCTGGCTCAAAATCCTTTGATGAAGGTCTACAACCTCTGCTTAGAGGGTCCTTGACCACCCACAACCCCATTCAAGGCTCTGGAAGAGCAGACCGATAGCTGTTCTCCCTGGGAAGGACTGGGCAGGGAGTACTTGAGAGCATATGCTTTGCTCAGATTTTGCCTGGTCTATCTGTGCCCTGCTGACCTTCTCAGAACTGACCCCTGTATCTCTGTTTCTAGCCCCAGTAAATTCTAGGCCTGATACCCAAAACTGAGGAAGCCAAGGGTGAGGGTACAAAGAGATGCTATCAGGACGTGCTACTGAAGACCAGCACCTGTGTGAGGGGGTTCATCCAAATCTTCGCAGTGCAGTATACCGATGGTCTCAGAGGAACAGGGAGATAGAGAGCTGCAGTGTGGGCCTGGGTCCTGGGAATTAGAGACAAGTAGGACAGGGTTGGAATAGGGGGCTTTGTTGCTGTCCTTAAGTGATAGGTCGGGACTACTGGGCACCTGCCATGGAGGAGTGGGAGCGTAGAAGAGGGAGACCTGCCTGATCTGCGGAGCAGCCTGCTTAGTGGCTGCTGCAGTAGGAGCTGCCGTTGCCTGGCACCTCTGCTGTTGCCATGGTAACATCGGAGGTGCTAACTTGCTAATGGTTCCCCTCCGCTGCAAATAACAATACTGTAATGGTTAATGGGGCTCAGCTCCGGTTCTCAGGATTCCCTGGGAGGCAGAGGAAGGGACAGGTAACAGGCCTAAACAAAGCTGCCCCCATCCCACCTGCCACCAACCAGATCTCCCCTGCCCTTCCCTCTCAGGCTCTCAGGCTTCCCTTCCCTGCCATCCTCAGCCACAGCTCCTTAGAGGTGCTGTGGTGAGGGTCTTCAGAGGGTTCACCCCCAACGCAGCTTCCCTCAGGGTAGTTCAAGGGCTGTTGCAGAGGGTAGGGCTGCGTCTTTTCTAGCTCCCTGGACTAGTCACTCTCTGCTTCTCTTGATGCATTTAAGCGGTCCCACTCACCTGGGAGGATGCGGAATCTACTGTGGGGCAGAGCCAAGGGAATAGCAAAGGCCCTCTGTACCCCAGCATCTTGCACTATGGTCCTCTCAAAGACCTGGGTTTTTAGACTTATTGTCCAGCCCTGCTAGTGGGAGGGCTTGCTCCTTCCTCTGACCCGGGTCCTAACCATTAGCCTGTTGTTCCCTTATGCAAGATTCTAATTAGAGCTCAAGGAAATGTCCCCCAAACAGCTAAAATAGGCGTTAAATCAGACTTCTTTCATCAGACAGAGGACCGTTTACACAAGTAGTTTATTTTCTGTGGAGCTTCCTCTGTGTGACTGGTCCAGGCCTGGCTCCCCAATGAAGGCTTGCAGAGGGGGCTGGGACACAAATAGATATCAGGGATTTGTACCCCAAAGCTCCTACTGACTGTGTACTGCCCAGGTCCTGGAAGTTGTGCCCTTGCAACAGCATGGCAGCTCTATCTAGGCTTTCCACAGGGCCCCAGGAAAGCCAGAGGACACTTCACCCCAGAATCCCTGGCTGCAGGGGAGGATTGGGAATGGGCCATGCCAGGTGAGGGCTCAAGTCTAAAGAGCTAAGTTCTTTCCTACCCCACTACATGTGTGGGGCTAAATGGGGGAGGTACTCTTTCACCTCCCACTGCCTCAAGCCTCAAATTTTCCCATTTTAAGGCAAACTCATTGTCCTGACACTGCATTGTGGTGGGGGCTGCAGGGGAGACAGCACCTGACAGATGAGGGTCGTCAAGTCTGCTTGACAGGGCTTCTAGGTCTTTTGATGCCACCTATCTCCAGTTCCTTAACACATTCCCCAGCCCAAGAACCTCTAGGGTCATACAGGAGGCCCAGCAGTTCCAAGCATCCTGTATACCCAATCTTCATCTTAGAGCTTTGTGCAAGGGGTGGAATGCACCAACCTCAGCACACAACAGAAGCTCCCAAGCACCTGGCCTTCAGCCTCCAGGAGCCCGTGAATGGGGTATGGGGGTTGGTCCTGCCCTCCTATATACCAGCATCCGGATGATGAGCTTAAAGAACCTTTCCTAGAGATGGAGTCTAGGAATTGGCCATGCAGCACTGTGTCAAGAAAGTGGGCAAGATTGGAGAATCCCCAGCTGGAAAAAGAGCAGAGAGACAAGCTTTGTACCCTAGGGTCCTGAGAAGAAGAAAATGCAGAGACCTATAGGACAGAGGTTCTAGAAGGCACAAGTATAGCTGCACACCAGTGCCCACAATAAGAATCCTCCTTTGGAGTCCTTATTTGTCCTCAGCCTTGCATCAGAAGTAGGGGGTAGTCAGGGTCTCTTCTATGCACTCACCCTACTGGGTAAGGTGTTCATTCATCCATCCAGAAGGAAGGGCCCAAAGGACATGCCAGCTGCCAAACAGAGAAGCCGCTTAGGGGTCAGCTGTAGCTACTCAGATCCTGCCATCTGCTGACCAATCACCTTTCCCTCAGGTCCGGCGCCATGTACTAGGGTACCCAGAACGCTGCAAGGCCACGCCCTCCTCGCTTCAGGGGTCACCGTCCCCACTGCCTACCACCCCACCATGGCTGGGGATCGGCTCCCGAGGAAGGTGATGGATGCCAAGAAACTGGCCAGCCTGCTGCGTGGCGGGCCTGGGGGCCCTCTGGTCATCGACAGTCGGTCCTTCGTGGAATACAACAGCTGCCATGTGCTGAGCTCTGTGAATATCTGCTGTTCCAAGCTAGTGAAGCGGCGCCTTCAGCAGGGAAAAGTGACCATTGCTGAGCTCATCCAGCCCTCGACACGCAGCCAGGTACCTGTGTCCCACCATTGCATCCATAATCCCTGGGGCTGACCATTCCTGAACAAGCACGCACTTGTCACCTCTGAAGGAAACTAGAGCTCCTCGACCTGGTACCCAAGAGTTCTCTGATGAAGCGCATCCCCTTCTCTGTCCCCTAATTCCAAACTGGGTTTCTTGGAGGTCACAGCTGAGAGTGCTGTAGGGCAGTCGCCCCTAGTGAGACCTTCCTCTAGAAGTGGGGGAAGAGCTCCTTTGTCTACCCATCTTCAGGGCAGGGTCAGAGGAAGGAAGTGGGATTGCACAGAGGGTAGACCAGCGTAGGTGCAGTTGGCTGGTGCTTTCTGAGGACAGGGACAGCTGGGTCTGGCCACTCTGACTGTAGTGAGGCCAGGAGGGGGTAACTAAGGGGATTATACTAGGCAGACCATTTCACCAGCTTCCCCATTCCTCCTGCCACCTCTCAGAGTCTTCAGTGACCCAGAATGCTCTCTGCGACCCCCAAGAAGGAACTTCCTTCCACAGAGGAAGGGACCAATTTCTCCCCAGGTCTATCCAGTGCATCAGCTGGAGAGGGACTAACCTATCCAGGAGTGTGTGTGGCCTGGGATAGCACCAGCTACCAACTGCTCCCACCTCCTTTGGGTTAGAGGGCCTGCCAATAGAACCAAGGCTTTGGAAGGGTTTCCAGTCTCCAAACTGCCCGCCTCCAAGCTATGAAGTGAGAGAACCCAGGTGGGGTGACGGTTGTCGGGAGTCCCCCACTCCAAGGCCAGAGCTGGCTCCCTGTGGTGCCAATGAAGGGAATCCAGTGATTAATCACCCCCAGCGAGGACTTCAGCCAGAGTGTAATCCTATTGGCTGCTGATGACATCATCCGGCCTGGGGTTGACAGCTCAGCTGGCTTAAAGGCTGAGTGTGCTTGGGAGGCAGGGACATCAGCCTGTCTGAGCAAAAGGCCCCTCAACATCTGGCCCTAAGGCCATCACAGTGGGGAGAAAGAGAGAAAGAACCCCAGCTCCTAGTTTCTGCCTCCTGGCCTGATGATATTTGGGAGGGGAGTCCTGTTACAGCCTTAGTTTTTCCATCAGGGGCTGGGGGGCAGCAAAAAAAGAAAAGAGAGATACTGGTCTTCTAGGAAGCCTAGAAGCCAGCCCAGGTTCTGTGTATGTGCTCTCTGGGGCCCCGTTATACCTACCTGTATTCTTTAACATTTCTAGTTCTGGTACTTTTACCCATGAGGGGCATGGCTGCCTAGAACTGGAGCCACCCCCAATACCTAGTCCTGTCTGGTGCAAAGCCTGATGGTGGAGCCATGTTTTTTTTTTTTTTTCCTGCCTAGCCACGGGGGTGAGGAGAATGGCAACAGCCCCGGCTGGCACCTTGATCTTACAAATGGCCTAACTTCTGCCCTTATGGTCCCCTAGGTGGATGCCACAGAACCACAGGATGTGGTAGTGTATGACCAGAGTACACGAGATGCCAGTGTGCTGGCAGCAGACAGCTTCCTGTCCATCCTGCTCAGCAAGCTGGACGGCTGCTTCGACAGCGTGGCCATCCTCACAGGTGAACTTCGGGAATGGGCCAGGGCTGTGGGATATACCTCCTCTTCCAAACACCCCTCCCCATGCACTTCGCTAGGACTAGACGTGTCAGAGGAGAAGCAGAATTACTGGGACAGTGGGGGGATCCTAAGGCCTCTTGATTTCTCAAAACCCACCTCTGCCTGCAATGGCAGAAGAGGTAGACAAGCAGGAGCTCCCCCAAAACCATGCTCTTGGTAGAGAGGGAGCCAGGGACCCAGGCTACAACTGGTTTCTGTCTCAAGGCGAGGAAGTGAAGGCTTTACCTCCTGAAAACTTCAGTCTATCCCAGAACTGGTCACATAGCAGGGACCTTACTCAGACAAGGTACCAGCTGGCCACAGGTCATCTCACTACTCCATCATGGCTGCTACTTAAGGGACCAGCAGAGTGTCTCTCTGGACTACCTGTGCTCCAAAAGCAGTCTGGCCAGCTGGCCTCCAGTCCCTACTCAGAGTCACACACACCCGCTGACTCATGTCTCATACTCCCACTCTCAACCATGTGCTTAGACACACTCACCCTTAGGCCGCGGCTGAAAGGGCTTTTGTAGATTCTACCTCCCCGAGAGGCAGCCTAGATTCCTAAATAGCTGCTGGAGTGGGCTTGTTCGAGGATGCCTACTCCAGCCGGCTGGAATCTAGGCCCTTTGCTGATGCCCTCTGCCCATGCTGGTGGCCTCTGCATAGCACAGAGCTGATGGAGTGTCCTCCACACCCACCCGCTGCATATGGAGTGGAATAAGTGGGTAGGTAGCCAGACCAGTTCAATGCCCCGAAATCCCATGAGTGCCATGACATCTAGCCCAACCGGAGAGGGAGGGCTGAGAGGGCCTGGACAGCTTTAGCCAGACTACTAGGTAGATGAATCCAACCTGAGGGGCTTCGAGTGGTTTGGAGGCTCAGTATCATGGGTAGGGTGAGTTGTCTATTTGGATCTGAGTTATGTAGCATCATGCTCTGGGCCTGTATGGTCAAAGGATAGCTGTGTGTCTACGTACCGTGAGCCTCAGGTATCAGCCACATGCACCTCACTTCTGGTATCAGTGCAGATGATGAGCCTGTCTGAGTAGGAGTCATAATTTATTGTGCATTTGAGAATTCTTGGAACCAGGAGCCACATAGCTGTACCATAGTTCTAGCCTTCTAGGCTTAGTTTGGGAGGAAGAGGAGTTTGGACCTTTTTATAAGCTCACTAGGCCTACAGGAATACCTCCTGTATCTAACTCACCACCCTAGTTATGAATGGAAGCATGAGGTTCTTCTGAAAATGTGAAGGGCTCCAGAGCAGCACCCTTCCTGGCCCTAGCAGGACAGCTCAAAATCTGGCAGGTTCTGTCTCTTGGGCCAAGGGCAAGGGGCAAGGACAATTTTGGAGGCTGGAGAAGTCCTGGGCTGGGATCCTCCCAAAGGATTCATCTGGACCTGGTTGTGCTCTATCCGGCCCCCTCTGCAGTTCTAGATGTCTGTCTTGCCAAGTTTGCTGGGAGGGTGGAGTTCCTGGTCAAGGCAGTGTGAGACAGACTCAAAGTGGCAACACATAGGCCCAGCCCCTGCTGAGCTAGTGTAGAATCAGAAGCAGACTTCCGAGCAGGGACTGGGGCGATTTCACAGCACACACATAGCTCTTTGGCCCCCTGGCCAAATACAACAGAGACCAGGCCTTCTTTAAACATCACCCTCTGGCTGGTGCTCACAGGAAGCTCAGGAAGATGGCCAGTGAAGGCAATCAGGAGAGGGTACTGAGAACCCAAGTGGTGCCCTCACAGTGGTATTTTCTATTTTCTAGGGGATGTGCCTTAGGGTTTCTTTTTGTTGTTGTTGTTGTTTGTTGTTGTTTTTTTTTTTTTTTTTTTTTTTTTTTTTTTTTTTTTTTTTTTTTTTTTTTTTTTTTTTTTTTTTTTTTTTGTTTTTTTTTTTTTTTTTTTTTTTTTTTTTTTTTTTTTTTGACACAGGGTTTCTCTGTGTATCCCTGGCTGTCCTGGAACTCATTCTGTAGACCAGGCTGTCCTGGAACTCACAGAGATCCACCTACCTCTGCCTCCCAAGTGCTGGGATTAAAGGTCACCTGGCTAGTTAGAGTTTCTATTGCAGTGAAGACACACCATGACCACAGCAACTCTTTTTTAAAAAAAAAAAATTTATTTATTATGTATACAATATTCCGTCTGTGTGTATGCCTGCAGGCCAGAAGAGGGCACCAAACCCCATGTGTAAACCACCATGTGGTTGCTGGGAATTGAACTCAGGACCTTTGGAAGAGCAGGCAATGCTCTTAACCTCTGAGCCATCTCTTTAGCACCCACAGCAACTCTTTTAAAGGAAAATATTTTATTGGGGCTGGCTTACAGTTCAGAGGTTTGGTCCATTATCATCATGGCAGGAAATGCGGTAGGAAGCAGAGTAGTACACAGGCAGACATGGTGCTGGAGAGGTTCTACATCTGGATCTGCAGGCAGCAGGAAGAGTGAGAGAGTGGGCGTGCCTTGAGCATCTGAAACCTCAAAGCCTGCCCTCAGTGACACACTTCCTCCAACAACAAGGCCACACCTCCTAATAGTGCCACTCCCTGTGGGCCTGTAAGCCATTTTTATTCACACCACCACAGAGGGTAATGAACTTAGTCCCTTTTTTCCACAAGTTAGAGTTTATTAGGGAAGAGTTTTAACCTAGATCTCAGTATGCTTTAGTTCTTTGTGCTGCTGTGTTAATCTAATCAAATGTAACTTCAGGGAGGAAGGGTTTTTCCGGCTCCCCGGTATGGGTATAGCCATCATGGTGGGGAAATTAAGACTGCAGGAGCCTGAAGTAGCTGATCACATCCCATCCACAGTCGGGAACAGAACTGCAGATGTGGGTAGGCTGCTGCTCAACTCACTTTTTGTGTTTTGTACCATCCTGGATCCTCTGCCCAGGGAATGGCTATGTTCATAACTACGATGGCTCTTCCCACATTAATGAACATAATCAAGATAACTCCCTACAAGCTTGCCAGAGAAGCCTCTCCTGAGTGATTCTATATTCTGTCGAGTTAGCAATTAACCATCACAGTGTGCATTATTAGAGAAAGGGGAGGGAGGAAGGGGCTTTAGCTTTTTAAACAGCAGGCAGACCCTTAGCTAGAAGCTGGTGTGACCTGTCATTGTACTATCATTGTGGAATGTGAGCCAGTGATGTCACAACTATGAAACAAACAGGCTCTGAAGCCTGGAGATGCTGACATGTCCCAGACTCTGTTGGGTAGAGATGGCTGTAATCAGACCAGAGCAAACCTGACCATCTGTAGGCTGGACCGTGCCAAGTCCATTGCACAAAGAAATGCATGTTTTTATATGCGTCTCCCTGTAAACATCAGGCATGATAATGGCACTGTCTCTGGCCTCCCAAGTTCAGGGGGTAGAGGCTGTGTATGGGAATGTTCTATAGGAGAAAGAGCTTCAGGGATGGTCAGAGCATTTTCTAGGCCTCCCAGAGACTTACCAATAGCTGTGATGCACTCATTCGACCTTGGTACCCCCATTTTCCAGCCACTCACATAGCCTGGGAGAGCCCCCCAAATACCTGAAGCCTCAGGCCTTGAGAGGGATAGAGTCCGTAAAAGGAATCTGGAAGGGCGTGTAAGGGCTTCAGCCCAGCCTGGGAACTTTCTAAGGTTCTGAGAAGTCTGGGGTGACTATACTTGGCAGAAACATTTGAACCTCCCTCCTGTGGGTAGAGTGGACAGGGGTCTCTGGTAGAATTCCTCCTCTGGACAGGCTGTGGAGGAAAGACTAAGACCCAGGCTTCTGGCCAAGTCACGAGAAGACAGAAGGGGCTGTAATCTATGGAAGAGGCTGTGCAGAGGCACCACCCCTCCAGGGCCGACCGTGAGTGGTCACAGTGCCCAGCTCAGCCTCCCCTTGGAATGTAAGCTGTAGCATTGCTGCTAGCACCACCTTCTCCTCTCAGGCCACCAAAGATAAGATTTCATTGAGGAGGTAGGGAGCAATACATCAGATGTACTGGTTGAGGGGTTGTGCATACTGTCTATGAGCTGGGCCAGTGTGAAGGCAAAGGTAGAAGCTTCCCTGTTCTTAGAGATTATCCAGGTCCTAGCACCTGCCTCTTTCAAGACTGGGAAAAGCAGTGTGTGTGTATGTGTACGTACGTGTACACACACAGGCCCAGAACCCTATCTTCACTTCCTCCCATGAGACACATTGGGTCTTAGCCCAGGCATCCTGTGCTTGGATGGTGTGATTGAGACCAAAAACTGAGCTCACTTGCTTGTCAGAACTTGGCATCATGGAAGTCCCATTCTGCTGAGCTCACCTCACCATGTTAAGAGCTGGTTTTTGGATGAACCCCAGCCAGGTTAGATGTGGCTGGGTCTATTTTTACCTCTTTATAATTGTGTTTTTCTGAGTCTGTCAACAATGCTGTATGGCAGGCAAAATAAGGAAACTGAGGCCAGAGGCATGCCTTGCCTGAGGTCACTCAGTCAGATGTACCAGAGGAGCCAGCTTGGGTATCTCAAAATGGTGGGGGGTTTCCTTCCCTAGCCCAGAGTCTCGATCTTGGGTGTATCTAAACAGTGGCAACAGGGAGCAAGCTGTTTGTCCCCTGGGTGCAGGCTTCCCTGTTTCTCTGTCATCTCCTGCTGGGGAGACTGGAGCCATGGCTGAACCACAAATGCCCTGTGGGCTATGGCAATTCCAGTGGGTGATGTCATGCCCAAAGAGGCCCCACCTCAGAAGCCCTTTCCTCCCAGGCCTGGCACTAGAGTCCAGGCCTGTGGCTTCCAGCCAACTGGAGTCAGGGAGGGATTGCATCAGCATTGAGAGAGGCTAAGTGCCAGCCTGGCCCCAGGCCAGTGATGTACAAGGGTTGGGAAAGAACTTGCCTTGCCATACCTGGGGAATAAGAGACCCCTGATAAGGTCTGAGCTGTCCCTTGCCTGGCTTCCATGTGCTGTACTGACAGGCCACCTTGACCCCACATTTATGGGCATCAAAGCCATGCCCCTGAGCTGGTCCCTAATTAGCCTGAGGAGGAATGTGGGCGTAGGTGCCTGCTCTAAATGGGCAGCAGCACAGCCCCCAGTGCTGCAGAGAAGGACAAGTAGCCTGCCAGCAAGAGTCCAGGTGCTAGGCCAGAAGCGGGCTGGGCTTGGGGTCCACAGGGTGCGGCTAAGCCCAGAGGAACTCTCCTGCCCTGGCTGGCCAGCCTCCTTAAAAGCCTTCTGTGTCTCCTCCCACAGGGGGCTTCGCCACCTTTTCCTCCTGCTTCCCAGGTCTCTGTGAGGGAAAACCTGCCACCCTACCATCCATGAGCCTCTCTCAGCCCTGCCTGCCTGTGCCCAGTGTGGGCCTGACCCGTATCCTGCCTCACCTCTACCTGGGCTCTCAGAAAGATGTCTTGAACAAGGTGAGTGCATGGGGGCGAGGGGGGGTGGGGACACCACTGATGGTGTAAAGAGGCGGGATCTGGAATTGGGTCCTAAGGTAGTCTGAAGGGAAGAGCAGGTGATAGATGAGTATGGGGTGGGACCACAGGAGGACCCAGAGCCCCAACCCACTGGATCACAGCATGGCCCAGGGAGGAACCCAGTGAGGCTAGGTGGAAGAGCAAGCTCCTGGACTCCTCTGTGGTGGGGCGCTGGAAGCCTACATGCCAAACTGCTTCTGTCACTGGGCCACTGGCCAGCTCTGAAAGAATCCCATGTTTTAAAAATGGCGAGGAGGGGAAAGGATGAAGGCACCGCCCAGGCAACCATAAAATTCCTGGGAGCCCAATGCAGTCTGTAGGTGTGGCTTGCAGAAGCCATCCTTCCTATACCGATCAGTGGGCTCAATCAATGGTTGAGATGAGAAGGGGTTCCTGGGGCCAGTCTTTCCCATATAGCAAGATTCTGAACAAAATCTAAGGCTCAGGAGCATCACAAGACTTTAGAGTCCTTCTATTCTGCAGAGAGAGAGGGAGGGGAGGGAGAAGGAGGGAGGAAGGGAGGGAGGGAGGGAGGGAAGAGAGAGGAGAGAGAGACTGAGACTCTCAGCTCCTCCTCTAGGGGCTTTGCTTTTCTCTGCTACCCCATTCTGACCCATCTTCCTATCCCTCCAGGATCTGATGACCCAAAATGGAATAAGCTATGTCCTCAATGCCAGCAACTCCTGCCCTAAGCCGGACTTCATCTGTGAGAGCCGTTTCATGCGCATCCCCATCAACGACAACTACTGTGAAAAGCTGCTGCCCTGGCTGGACAAGTCCATTGAGTTCATTGGTGAGGGGAGGGGAGGGTGTGTCTGTCTCTGTGGGACGGGGAGGCTGGCTCGAGGGAAGAGTGGGCAGAGGGCAGGATTACCCCTGGGGACACCCGGCTCTGGGAAGTCACCCACACCAGCTGCCATAGGGAGGGTAGGGGCCAACCTTGGGCAGGGAGGAATAGTGCAATCTCAGTCCTCACCTGGCCCTCCACCATCCACCTGCCCCCAGATAAAGCCAAGCTGTCCAGCTGCCAAGTCATTGTTCACTGTCTGGCTGGCATCTCTCGCTCTGCCACCATCGCCATCGCCTACATCATGAAAACCATGGGCATGTCCTCCGACGACGCATACAGGTACTCTCCCCCTCCCACCGTCCTAGGGACCTGGAACTCCACAACCAATGGCTAACAGTGTTGCCCTCCCTTCCTCTCTCCACCCACTACTGCCCTGGCAGGGAGGGAAAACCAGAACCCAACACAAAGCTTGGGTACCTCAAGGCACAGGGGGAAAATCAGCACAAGCCCGTTCTGACAAATTTCTCTTGCTTGTCCAGGTTTGTGAAGGATCGGCGCCCCTCCATCTCTCCCAACTTCAACTTCCTGGGCCAGTTGCTGGAGTACGAGAGGAGTCTGAAGCTGCTGGCTGCCTTGCAGAGTGATGGACCTCACTTGGGGACCCCTGAGCCCCTCATGGGCCCGGCAGCAGGCATCCCACTGCCCCGGCTGCCACCATCTACCTCAGAGAGCGCTGCCACTGGGAGCGAGGCAGCCGCTGCAGCCAAGGAGGCCAGCCCAAGTGCTGGAGGGGATGTTCTGATCCCCAGCACAGCTCCAGCCACCAGCGCACTGCAGCAGGGCCTGCGTGGCCTGCACCTCTCCTCCGACCGCCTCCAGGACACCAACCGCCTGAAGCGCTCCTTCTCCCTGGACATCAAGTCAGCCTATGCACCCAGCAGGAGGCCTGACTTTCCCGGCCCACCGGACCCTGGAGAAGCTCCAAAGCTCTGCAAGCTGGACAGCCCGTCTGGGGGGACACTGGGCCTGCCCTCGCCCAGTCCGGACAGCCCAGACTCTGCTCCAGAGGGGCGTCCACGACCCCGCCGGCGACGGCCCCCAGCCAGTTCTCCGGCCCGCTCCCCGGCTCATGGCCTGGGCCTGAACTTTGGAGACACGGCCCGGCAGACTCCGCGGCATGGCCTCTCGGCCCTGTCGGCACCCGGACTACCCGGCCCTGGCCAGCCGGCTGGCCCCGGGGGCTGGGTGCCGCCACTGGACTCCCCCGGCACACCGTCGCCGGATGGACCCTGGTGCTTCAGCCCGGAGGGCGCTCAGGGCCCGGGCGCCGTGTTCTCTGCCTTTGGCCGAGCGAGTGCTGGTGCACCTGGACCCGGTGGCGGCGGCAGCAGCAGTAGCAGCAGCAGCGACCTGCGGAGGCGGGAGGTGCTGCGGGCTGAACCCCGGGACGTGCGGACCGGCTGGCCTGAGGAGCCTGCTTCAGATACACAGTTCAAGAGGCGCAGCTGCCAGATGGAGTTCGAAGAGGGCATGGTGGAGGGGCGGGCACGCGGCGAGGAGCTGGCAGCTCTAGGCAAGCAAGCCAGCTTCTCCGGTAGTGTGGAGGTCATCGAAGTATCGTGACCCTTCAGGAGTCCCTGAGCCCCCGCTCCAGCTAGGCCAGGTATAAATATATATTATATATAACACACAGAAAGGTAAATGGTTTTACTGCAATTTTTATCAAGAAGTAAATATTTCAATTTTTTATTTATTTAAGCTAGTGATCTGGCAACTGTGCGGGGCGGTCCTCAAGCTCTGTTTTTACTGTCTGATATTTAAACTGAAACAGGTTTCTAAGCAATATGAGGCCACCTTCAATCCCAAACTGGATTGACAGGCCTGGGCCCCTCCTTCCCCCCTCCCCTCTGGAAATAGTACTGACCTTGCAAAGAGCTGCCCAGCTTTCCTGCACTTTTTACATAAGAAAAGGGGGAAAAGGAGAAAGATAACCCTTATTTGCCACAAACTGAGCCGCAGACCCCTTGCCTTTCCTTTCTTTCCTCTCCTGGTCTCTCCTCTCCTGTCTTTCATGTCTTGGGCTCTGTAGCAAAGCCATAGATAGGTAAGGGGAGGGGGAGACCCTAATGTCCTTGCAGAAGGCCCCAGTAGCAGCCCCCACACACACACCTCAAGTTGCCAAGTCTTAGTGGCATAGGGGTACCCTCTCTGCCTATCCATTACCCCAGGGATGTTCCTTGGCAGGTGTTGGTGGGCACTGAGCCCAATGGACCAGAGTTTTCAGGGAGACTTGGACAAGAGGTGGGGGGGATCCTGAGAGCCAGATGAGGTAGCCCCCAAGGCAAGGATGGAGTAGACAAAAGAGCTCACACTCCTGCAAGAGTGAGATCCAGTTCCTCAAAAGGGCCCAGGAGGCCATTCAGAGGAGGATTCTCTCTTTCCTTTGTAGATGCTCTTGCCCATTGGGAAGCCCAGTTAGACTCCCCAGCATGGACTGGGGTAGTGCCCAATGCTGCGGGCAGGGGCAGCTAGGCTAGCTGGGGCTGGCAGGGGCTAGCTCTGCTGGTCAGAGGGGAGTTCTGGGTCCAGTATAAATGGGGGTAGATTCACGCTCTCCTTCTAGGTTCTTCCTGCCCCTGGTAGGACTTGGAATTCAGGTGCACCTGCAGGTTGAGGGGCCTCTGGAACAGGCCTCCTTACAGATGGAGTCAAGCACCTACCAAGCCCGTGGGTTTCCAGGAAGTGGGAATCCTCAGCTTTGGGAGAACTCTCTCCAAGCAGAGAAATACCCCCCATCTAGACACAGAGATGCTGGGGAAGTCCTTGGTGACTACCCCATCCCCACAGGGGCTTCTCAGGAGAGAGTCCCCCTGTGTGCTCCCTTCCCAGGGTACTTTCCCACTGTCTTCAAGGTGAGATTCTAGCCTCCACCCAAGGTGGCTTTTTTTTCTTTTTCTTTTCTCTTTTTCTCTTTTGGCTCAGAGCCAATCTAGAAGCAAGGACAGGAGAAAAGTACCAACCACCCTTGCTGAAAATCCTCTTGGACCATTTGGGACCCAAAGGTTTGAGGCAGAATAAGGGCTCTTGCCCTAAGAGCTCCTCAAGTGTGTGAGTGGGGCTGTCCTTCGAGGAAGAAGCCAGGGGCTCGGTAATAGGCAGCTGGGGCAGGACAGAGTCCTGGAGAAAGACCTAGGATGGCACCTTTCTACCCCACCTCCCTTGCTGTGTCCTTCTGTTTGTTCTTTTGACCACTACCCTGTGTTCCTGTCATTCTCCTCCTTAAGCAAAAGTCCTGTTGCAGTTCTCTTGACCCCACCCGTCCTGATCCCTGAGAAAATAAGATATTGTTGTATTTGCAATCTATGGATTAGAGGTTTAAGTATTTATTATTATTATTATTGGTTAATTATTATTATTATTGATTATGTAAATTTCCCTCCTGTCTGTCATTGAATTTCTAAGGTGACCCTGGGTGTGGAGGATGCACTGGCTTCCCCCTCCTTGCCCCACCCTACTGCTGTCCAGGAGATAGTAGTGTGTGGCCACCAGTTGGACCCTGAAGATCCCCCTTGGGTCTGGTCCCTCCCCTCTCTCTGTGGAGATATGGCATCTATCCTGGACACATGGGGCCCATTAGCCTCAGTCTGTCTCTGTTCTCACTCATGGCCCTGGTCACCCTAAAGTGAGCAGACAAGATGGAGGATAAGGTCCCAGCTGCCTGCTCTGATACAGGGTAGAGAGAGGTGGAGCATAGGCCTTCCCTGGTGGCTTTTCACCCACTGTCCAACATGTGGAGGATATAGGGTCCTCCTGAGCCTCTCTTACTCTCTTACCCCTCATACCTGGTCACTGCCTGGCACTGGAATGACCCAGAATGCACCTGGCCCCTCCTGTTGTTTTCTGGAAAGTCCAGTATAGGAGAGGTAGCTGGTCCCTTGCCCAAGGACCAGGGTGCCAGCTTCCCCCTTGGGACCTTTCCCCATGAGGCCGCACTTTCCCATCCCTCCTTTTGTATTTGAAACAATGTGTTGTAATAAATCATAAGAACGATGTTTTCCCCAGGCCTCTGCTGCCTCTTTCTTAGGGCTGGTTGTGGGAGAGGTTGGACACTGGGGGCGGGGGCAGTCTGGAGGTTCCAGGAGTCAAGGGCCTGGTAGGTTGTGCCTGCAAAGTGGGCAGAGGGAAGAATCTGAGGCTTATCCTTGGTAGACCAGGTATAGAGAAGGGGCATAGGACCTGGAATGAACTCCTGGGATGTAAACTACCCATTTTATTATCTGCTTTTTTTATGACTGAAAACTAGGTAACTTTAAATATCAGTTTGCAGGCTGGGGAGATGCTTCAGTCAGTACAGTGTTTGCTGGGCAAGTATGCGTACCTGAGTTGGATCACCAGAAGCCAGGTACGCTGGCATGCACTTGTAATCCCAGTAGTGGGAGGCAAACAGAAGGATCTTGGTGCTCCCTGGCCAAGCCTAGCCTACTTGGTGCCCCAGGCCAACTTGTTTATGTCTCAAAACACAAGTTGAATGGCACCTGAGGTTTGTCTCTATGCACATACACATGTAAACTGCATATGCATGTGCAAACACAAGAGCCCAATTCACCTGTCAACTCCCCTCCCAAGACATTCCTACTGTAAACAGCTCACTCCTTGCCTTTTCACATACACATACCCCACCACGGTCTTTTCAACAGACACAGGGTTTACAAGGAATTCTTTTATGTGATATGAGCACCAAAAGCATGCTGACGGTGCTGACTTCTGCAGCACACATGCTAAAACTGGAACAGGATGGAGAAGATCAGCATGGTCTTTGTGCAAGAACAACACATAGATTCATGATGAATTCCATATATTTGAGACACCCCCCCCCAGTACACCTGATAACTGACTCCTAGTGAAGCCCACCTTTTTTGATCTCCCAGAGGATGTGCCTTTGGCCACGACTGTAGCCCCCTCTGCTTCATCCATTTCCTCATCACTCCTGTGAGGGAAGGGTAAAGGGGATAAGGTGCAGATCTTGGGTCATGAGCTTCTCAACAGCCATCTTTTTAATCACCCTGACCAGGAGTCTCTTCCCTGCTCCTTTCCCCCTTTATTTTGCTCTCATCCCCACCACAGATCTTTGGATTGGATGATTTCTGACATCTTCAGTTTTTTTTAAAAAATTTGTTTTTGTAATAAATAAATAAACAAACAAATAAACAGAAGCATACTAGAGTGTCTGATGTGAGCCCATCCTTGTCTCCAGACACAGGGTTCCTCTCTCTGGACAGACTGCCCCTACACCAGTGCAGACCGGCCAGGGTCCAGGCTAACCTGCTATATGTCATTACAAGTCATGTGACCATGGACATCCATGTACCATTCCATAGGACAGACTTCCAGATCTGGCTTTTCTGGGCCACCTCAACATGTGGTTCTCATCTTAACAGTCTCTGTGTGGACTACCCTAGATGCCCTGTGGAAATTCCTAAGTGGGCTTCTTGGAGGATCTTAGTTCTCATCCCTGCCCCTGGCTAATACAACATTCTCCAGTTTTGACCATCCTGTTCAAGGGACCCTTTGTGCTTTCAGGCAGGCAGTGACACTGGTCACTCATATGAGTAGCGGTGTGTGTGTGTGTGTGTGTGTAGGTCAGAAGATAGAGGAGGAAAAATCAGGAGAGGAGGGGAGAGGATGTGGCTAACCTCTCTTCCAGCGGATCTTGAATTCTGCATCCTCAGCCCTCAAAGAAGCTGAAAGCTAGCAGCATCGTCTGCCTCTAGCAAGGATATTTTTAGCTCAAGAACATCTATTTATAGCCCTGGCAGCCCCTAGGAGTCAATAAAACCAAGGACTGGAAAAAGCTGATGGTTGTCTCAAGCGGGCCGGGTACTCCTTCTACCCTCAGCGTACATGAGCACCTGCATTTGAAGAAGGTGAGTGACAGCGCCTCTCCTGAGAGGCCAGCTGGGAGCATCGACCTCGGTATCCTGGAGACAGCAGAAGACTCCAAAGGGAGTGAAAGAGGTGCCATTTACTAGCTCACCCAGACTTCTAGAGGTCATCTTGGCCAAGGACTACACAACAGAGGACTATGCTGGGCAGGCTCTCCGCTCAACTCCTATACTGCCATACCTAGATACACAGCCTCCCCTAAAGACCTGATCCCAGCTTCCATCTCTCTCCCTAGCCCTAAGCCAGCCAAGAGCTGCTGACAGTGAGAATGACAATGAGAGAGAGAAAGTGTGTGTGTGTGTGTGTGTGTGTGTGTGTGTGTGTGTGTGTGTGCGTGCGTGCGTGCAAATGCATGTGTGTTTTTGGAGACAGGGTATAACACATATCCAGATAGCCTCAAGACTAGCCTCAGACAAAGGGTAGATAGGTGGGAAGATGGGAGGATAAGTGAATAGATAGGAAATGAATAAGTAGGAGGGTGGAGAGGAGGATCGATGGATGGATGGATGGATGGATGGATGGATGGATGGATGGATGGATGTGTGGGTAGGTGAATGGATGACTGAATAGACAGGTATGTGGTTAGATAGGGAAGGGTGGCTGGATGGCTAAAAGTGAGGGAGTGTGAAAGTGTGCGTGGGTAACTAACGTTCTGTTACAATGGAATTCTTTTGTCTTATGTCAAAGGCATGTGTTCAGCCATGCACAATGGTCCAAGTCTGTAATTCCAGTACTCAGCTGAGGCAAGAAGACTGCTTGAAGTTCAAGGCTAATCTGAGCTCCATGAAATCTGTCTCAAAACCAATCACATGGAGGCCAGGGAGACAGGTCAGCATGTTAGGGCACTTGCTGTGAAGCCTAATGACCCCAGTTAAGTATCTGGGATTCACATGGTGAAAGGAAAAAATCAACTCCCCATAGGTTGTCTTCTGAATTCCAGATGCAAGTTGTGGCATGGACAGGCCCACAAATATGCAGGTGTATGGTCACACATATAATAAATAAATGTGGAAAAAAACCGAAGCAGATGTCAGTGACAATAACGAAGGTGTGTGCTTTTCCCTATTCTATGCTGTGCTATAGACAGGCACTAGCCTTAAACATAGAGGGCACCCAGTGAATGCCCTCTGAGTAAGCCGCATATTAGCTCTTCTAGGACTGCACACCACCACAGAGCCCAGTTTCTCTCCCAGGCCCAGAGGGAGGAGCAGTTTTGTTCAATGTTTCTCAGCAAGTCAGGGGCAAAGTGGGCTGGACTGGGCTCCCCATTTTCTCCATTGTCATTGCTTGCAAGACTGAAAAATCCCTGAAGACATCCTAGAGGACTGTTCTCAGTGGTCTTAGATGACCTGTGCTGCCTGGGTGGATTTGTCAAAGCACTTCTCTGCCCAGGACTGGAAAGACTTGGGGAGCAATGTGGGGGGCCAGTTCCAAGAAGGGCACCATTTAGCTTCCGAAAGGCTGAGTGGTTGGGAGAAGCTTAAGGCGTGTATGGGTAAGAGGGCACTGCAGAGGGTCACCAGGCAAGAGAAATACAGAGAATGCGCTGCTAGGATCCATGGAGATGCTGGAGGCCTCTGTCTGGGCAGGGTGCTCAGGAGATGGATTGAACCTACCTTGCTCTGAAGGGCAAATAGGGATGGGAGTACAAAGGATTCTGTGGAAAAGGGGGGTCATCTCAGGGTGGTGGCAGGGGGGTGGGAGCAAGCTCTCCAGACAAATCAAATCTTATCTAGAAGGGAAAGCTAAACTAGGGAGGTAGCGAACAGTTCCAGGGCCATTCCAGGCCCCAGAGCTTTCACTGGTCTCTAGATGGAAGGTGCTTCCTGGAAATAGAAACAGGGACCTCAAAGTGAAGAATCAGGAGGGGAGCCAGTCTTGCCCAAAGAAGAGAGAAAGAGGAGGCTGTGTGAACCAATTTCCTAAAACTGTCCTGAAGGGTTGGAGAGCACAAAAGCTCTCTCTTCTGCTCCATGCCCCCACGCCTACCCCAGGACACAGAGAAGGATGCTGAGGATGCTGTGAAGGGCATGCTTACGTCAAAGACCAGGCAGATGTCGGGTGAGTGCCCTCCAGTCTTTCCAAGCAGAACAAAGCTTGTTTGGCTTTAGCATCTGCCAATGCACCCCTTCCCTCTCTAGCAGCCCCTGCAGTAAGGGTGATCTCAGAAAGGGGAGGGTCTGAGACAGAAGACTTGGGGGACTTCCTCTAAGTGGAAGGGTGCTAAGGGTGCAGGTGTGGCCTAGAGATATGTCTCTGCATCTTTTTTTTTTTTTTTTGGTTTTTCGAGACAGGGTTTCTCTGTAGCTTTGGAGCCTGTCCTGGAACTAGCTCTTGTAGACCAGGCTGGTCTCGAACTCACAGAGATCTGCCTGGCTCTCTGCAGCTTTGCAAACACCAAAGTGAGAACTAGATCACTAGCCAAGGGAAGGGCTGGCAGCCAAAGCCAAAGTTTCCTCTTAACCCTTTTCTCAACAGGAATCGCATCAAGGTATGGGGGTCGGTGGCACCATTGGTATCTGCAGAAGAAGCCAGACTCAGGCTGATGTAGTTAGTGGGCATGACTATAAATAGTGAAGGGGAGCCTCAAATAGAAGTGGTGGAGTGAGTCCCCGAAAGGTTGGTGGGGAGGAGATTGGACCTAAGGACCTGACTCCAGAGGAGGCAACAAAGCCATTTCTGGGTCCTCAGTCTCCCACTGTCCCTCAGTCCGATAAAGTGTCAGCTCCTAGAAACATTTCAGGGAAGAGGGTAAAGTCAGGGGCTCTTCCCATGCATACTAGGATGGTAGCTCACAACACTACCTTGGGACTGGGAAGGGTCAGGGAGGTGGGGACCTGTGTTCCTCCAAGCTCATCTCCCACAGTGGCTCCTGGCCTTCGGCTTTCCTGGATAGCAGCCTCCACTCCTGACGACTGAAGGGCTAAGTAGAAAGAGAGAAACTGCCCTATCTCTCCGTCTTTTTCTAGTCAAGTCCTTGAATTTGACTCCTCCCACACCTCTTAGGCACACTCAGTAAGGTCCAGATGGATTGGCACTCCACTTTCCCAGAGTCTGGCAAGTCAAGTCTCTTCCCTGACTGCCTTGATCTCCTCCCTCAGAGCCTCCCCTAGG